CAGCTTGGACCCAAGCCCTGGCTCTGGTCAGCCTTACAAACCTCCCCAGTCTCTAGATGCGAAAACTGCCACAAGGTAAGGGCTGGGGCAGGAGGGGAAGCTGTGATTTCCAGTTTCCATTAATAGGAGGGGAATTTGGATTCCTTTCTGGCACCTCTTAAATATCCGGCATTTGGGCAGATATTAAGAATGGCAAAACAAGCCCTGTCTTGGACAAATTACAATCAAGCCAAAGGGTTGTGTAAGAGGAAGGAAGTATGTCATTCTTTAGAAGAGGTACTATCTTGGTACCAAATTCCAGAAAGCCTTTTTCCATGGATTGGATAAGGGACACTCAGCTGGCTGTGTCACTGTGGCTAACACAGAAGAGGGACTCTCATCATCTGGCCCTGGGGTCTGGATTCAAATTCTGATCCTTCTTGTTCTTAGCTAGGTTGCCTTGGGCAGATTACTTGACCTCTCTGGATCTCCATTTCCTTACCTCTAAAATGAAGATAGTATAGCATCTCCCTCATCAAACTGATGTGGGACTAAAGGAATGAATCTGTGGGACATGCTTAGCACAAGACCTGGTAGAGAAAGTATATTTCCACTGTTATTATTAAGGTTATTTCTCAAGATTTACTGTATCATCTTGAAGTTGTAAGACCTCTTAATCTATGGGTTTGGGAGCTCATTCATGATGTTTTCGATACCATCTTACTTTCCCAGAAACCCTTGCAACATGTTTCTTTTGGGAATGTGAGTTTTCCCTTTATTAGTTTTCCCTCCTATCCAGTGTTCCATTCAGAGGCAAAATTTTACATTCTGGGCTTTGAATTTTCCATTTCAGAAAGGGCTCCTTCTAAAAAGTTCCTTTTCCAAAGGCCCGCAACCCCATGGCTACTTGGACAAATGGGGAGGCACAGCCCTTTATGAATATCGAGCTGGACGGAGCCTCTGGCAATCACCAAATGAGTCCAGCCCTTTTGTTTCACAGCTGGGGTAACTAAGGCCTGGACCCCTGAGCACAGCCCTCTCAAACTGCTAGAGCCAGCTCCTGACTCTGGTTTCATCTCAGTAGCACACACCTGTGTGTAAAGCTTCACAAATGTAGACAGAGACCATTCAGGCAGGTATACATCATACTTTCTGGCTTACTGTCTCTTTTCAATTTATTAGGCTAATTGCACCGCCTTATTGAGATGCTAGAACATATTAGATAGCTTTTAGAGAAGCCAGACATTGTAAGGCTGTGATGATTAACTATTTCATTCCCTTTTTTATGAGGTTTATAGTTTATTTGTGCCTGAAATAAATAAGGCTGCACGATATGCCTCACTAGTCTAAAGTAAAACTGGAGACCGTGTTTTCAAAATGGGAATTGGATGTTCTCTGCCCACCCCCACCTTTCACAACTTGCTTCCAGCTATGAATGTTGGCCAGTTACACTGTACTGTCTTACCAAGAGTGACGAAGCCGCTTTCTTTCACTGAGAGATAGCAGGGTATTAAGGTGTTTGCTGAATAATTTTCAAAACCATCTAGGAAACTTTTTGTTTGTTGGTGTGTTTCTAGGACACAAGATGGTGAAACAGCCCAACCCAAAGAAGTCCAGCAGAAACAGAGCTCTGCCCACCAGGAATGGTTTACCAAGTATTTTTCTTTCTGAACTGGTTCTTGGGATCCATCAGAAAGAGGACATTTGAAAAACATTTCTTTTAAAGCATCTGATTGAAGGAATGAACTAAACAACCAACCGACCAAATAACTTGCTTGTGATATGGTTTATATGTATTAGCCAAAACAAATTTTGGCCTTAACATTTCACACTATTTCATTGTGACACCAGTGCTTAAAAAAAATTCTTGCCATTAAGATAAGCCCCCCGCCCCAACATGTGTTATCAAAAGGCACCCTAGGAAAATATTAATGTTGCTGATAACATTCACATTGTATTTCTAGTACCCAGAAGGTTTCATTCCACTTTATGGAGTATCAGGCTTTGTGATTTCCATGGTCTACTCTAAAAGTGGTTTCATTTTTCCTTAGAATGCTCGTCATCTCCACTTAAAAAGTATTTCTATGTAAATGACACAATTCCAAAATGCACATTCAACCTCAGTAGGAAGAAGAATAAAAGTTCAACATACTCATGAAAGCCAATTAAAAAAACAGAATGAGGCAAAACTAGGAGTGGACTATATAGCCAACCTTGGCATACCTGGATTGAATGCTTCGACTTCATAGCTCCAGGACATGAAGACTACATGTAGACTACAGAGGGAATAACAACTACCTCAAAAGGGGCTTTACAAGAATTAAGCAAAATATTATGGGGAATGACACCAATCATGAATTGGAATTAACCACTGCCAGAATTTTTCCGTAAATAACTGAGCCTTGCCCCGTCACACATCTCAGTTTCAATGACTATAGTTCCAATTTGGTCACTTGTCAAGGTTTCTAGAGTATTCTATGAAGTCAAAGATCTACTGAACTTGTGGTCTTTGGGCTTGGGCCCTTTGCCTCATGGTGCATTGCTTCTCCATTGCATGGATGCTCAGTACATTAAAGGGACTCAGGACTGGCCATTCACGGTGCTGACCTGTCAGTCCACACTGAATAGTCTGACCTTCTGACAGAGAAGTGCGATTTGACAAGACTCAATCCATTTGGGCAAAATATGTTCTCAGTCCTTTGGTGCTGGCCACAGGTGGCCATAAACAGTTGTTTATTCTATGCACTGTCAAACCTTTGCTCTTTGAATAAAACTTCAAACAACTGGGCAATAAAAATGGCTGTGACTTGTATTGTTTTCCCAAAGAAAGGTGAAATTAGATGAAGATGGAGCATGGAAATAGGACGTTCACATTAACCTCAATTAGATCATCTTCAAATAAAAAGTAACTGCTTCCATACGTCATTCTAAGAGAAATCCAATTACAACTCACAATTTAATAAAGGTAAAATCACTATCTAATCAAAACATGTGGCCCTATAATTTCTTAAATGACAATACTTGTTCCCAGACATGTAATATACCATGTTATTTTCAGTGTCACTTTTTCTTTAATGATTTTACTTATTTGAGAGAGAGGGAGAGAGTATGAGAGACCACAGGTTGGGGGGCAGCACAGAGGGAGAGGGAGAAGCAGCATCTCCACTGAGCAAGGAGCCCAACTCAGGGTTCAATCCCAGGACCGAGTTCATGACCTGAGCTGAAGGCAGATGCTTAACCAAATGAGACACCCAGGGCCCCCAATATCACATTTTTTTTAGTTATCCTGTTTCCTGCTTAAGGTGAGCATTGTAGGATCATGCTTCCATTTTGTGTTTTAAAAACTGTATGGATAGCTCTGTTTATTGAAATATTTTTCCAACACTGCAACTCCTGATAACTAGCAAAGCAGGCTGCACCTTGTACAACTGTCTCCTTTAATTAATTCAGCAGGATACAAGCTGCAGGGACAGAGTTTTATTGAGACTCTACATCTGTCTGATTTCTTTCTTGGTGCAGCTGAGTGAAAGATGGTTAAATTTCTAGATTCTATCCTGCAATGATTACATCTTTGTTAACCAAATCTGTGCATGCTTCTACCATTTATTTCTTTAGGACAAATTCCTTGAGTGGAGTGAAGTAAAGCATCAAAGGATACATGCTTAAGCTTTCTGTGACATATCAAGATTATCATCCAGGAAGTTTCAAGTTTACACCTTCACCAGCAGTGACTAAAATCCTACCTCTCCATACCCTAGAAAACACTGACAAAGAAACTCAATCTGAGAGAGAAAACGTTCTTCCAGTTTTTGTGTACATAATCTGATTCCATCAGTCTCTCAAGAGTGGGTGGTCCAGACCTAGCAGTGATGGCTTGGGGAGAACAGTGGAGATGAAGAGAAATGAAATGATTCAGGATTGAGTCAGGGGGAGAATCACCAAGATTTGGTGATAAATCTTGGTAGGCCCTATTATGAAAGGAGGAAGGGCTAACACTGCTAGAGTGAAACTGTAAAGGAAGATTGCTGTAAAGGGTTTCTTAATTAGGGTGGAAAAGAATGAACTCACCCAAGCAATGGCTGCTATCGTGTACCTGAGCCCTTATCACCTGCTCTAGCATCGATATAACAGCCAACACAGTGGTTGCACTTGAGGTTACTTGGTCTTTATACTCATTCTCCAGGATCCATCTGGATTCTGCAAGGATGAGGTTGGCCAGATTAACAACCCTGAGGTCGTAGAACAAAAATAAAAACAACTCTTAAAAGCTTTGTTTAATCTACACTGAGGGGTTGGCCCCAGCTGGATACCCCACACACGTGCACAGACAAGAATGTGTAATAAGTATCATGCATAAAAGATAAATAATAAATGGTCAGTGTATATTCTGAGAGGAACAATGCCTACTTCTCATGAGGGGCTCAGAAATGGATATAAATCTCTAACCCCCAGGGAGAATCAAGGTCAGCAAAGAGAGAGAAGTCCCATGTCCCTGGGTGGGGTGCAGCAGCGAGGGCATGCAGAGGCTTCAGGGACCAGGTGGCATCCAGGCCAAACAACCACGAATGGATGGATATCAACCTTATCGAGGGAGGAGGTTTCAAGGCTGAAGGAATCAAAACAAGTCAGGATACAGGGTGTAGAAGTACTGCCTGTTTAGAAAACAACAGAGCATTTGTTTTCAGTTAGGAGGTGTCACCTAATAAGTGACTGTAAACACAGAGAAAGGAAAATCTCACCTAGGGAGCACCACACTCAATGCCCTTCTGTACTTCTCAAAGGCAGCTCAATAGCAAATCTCATTGGCCTCTGTAACCAACAAGAGGGTAAAATGTGTTCCCAAATGCTGAGGCTCCCATGATTTTTGAGGATGGGGAGTTTGCTGAGGGTCATCCTGCAGCCCACTCCCCACCCAGAGGCCTCAGTCCCTTGGTATCAGTCACTCATTAGCAAGAACCATCCTTAGTGGAAAATTCAGCTACAAAAAACCAGAAACAAGAAAGACACAAGCAAACTGAAAATGAAAAGAGATGATCATAGCAAGCTTTAATGTTTCATACTGCATATATGCCTCAAGCATCACACTGAAAACAAAGTCTGCCCCCTTACAGTGATTCATCACTGGAGAACATAACACAACTTAGCTTATTACTGCTCCTATTACACAACTCCACTCCAAAAAGTGGAAAAACACCACACAAAATATAAAGGTTAGTCCAAATAAAAGTCAACATCAACCTAAGGATCGTACATTATTACTATACTAACTTAGGATATTATAATCCTTTCAACCTATTTATAAAATATCCTCATTCTGAGAGCTCAGATGCATTACAAATATCACTGTATTAGATTCTTCTTCTTAAGGTAATTTAAAGTCTTGAAACATGCAAATTTACCTATTTTTTCTGCACAACTACTGAGGGATAATTGTCATGAAAGGCCTACAAACAAAATCCTCACCTGATTCTTAGATCAGATCATACAAGCTAATCTAAAACTGGAAACACAAAGAGACTAAGTCATACAAAAACAAAAAGTACAAACAGAAAAAAGAACATGAAAAGGAAATCTGTAAGTGGCATCACACTAACAGTCTAAACTTTGCTACAAATGGGAAAATTTACTTGATTTACCAAAACTATATAGGCATTTTATAAAGTACTCAAAAAATAACGCTTATAAAAATAAGGGGAAAATTTTAGGTGAGATCATCAACAAAAATCATCTTATTCTTTGGCAAAGAGTTCTTCCAAAATGTCATGTCCACAAGAAGTGATGTCTGTCAAGACTGTGTTTAGGCTGACTCACACACCAGATCACCTTCAGATCAGCTCTGACTCAGGTTTGCTTCATTGGTGCAGGGATATTAGCTGATGCCTGCTCGAGGTAGGCCAAGGAGCCCTGAGGGATCTCGGCTGGCTTTTTGTGCTGCACGTTGATGTCTTCCAGCACCTGCTGCCAATGCCTCAGTTTGGTCAAGTGCTTCTGGACCAGAGCATCTTTCCGCTGTAACTCATTCCTTAGTTCAGAGACATCCTACAAACGAAGACAATGAAGTAAGAGTAAGCTCATGAAAAGTGAAAACAGTTCCTGATCTGGTAAGAGCTCTAAGAAGTAATTCAAAACAAGAGAATCAATTAAACCATTGTACACCTATTATCCTGCTTGGCTCCACTATCTATAAACAACCTGCAGCAGCTCCTCCAATGGAAGATGCCTGCCTAACACTGGGAGTTTTTACTTTTCGTTTTAATTTAGTAAGTAATACAGATGTTCCAATATTCTAAAGTACCAAAGGGCAGTCTCTTTCCCATCCCAGTCCTCAGACACCCAATACCTCCATTCAAAGGCTACTGCTGCGATCTAAAACACTGAGAACCTGAAACATATGCAAACAACTGTTTAAAAAGAATCCAGGAGCGCCTGGGTGGCTCAGTGGGTTAAAGCCTCTGCCTTCGGCTCAGGTCATGATCCCAGGGTCCTGGGATCGAGCCCCGCATCGGGCTCTCTGCTCAGCGGGGAGCCTGCTTCTCTTCCTCTGTCTGCCTACCTCTCTGCCTACTTGTGATCTCTGTCTGTGAAATAAATAAATAAATCTTTAAAAAAAAAAAAAAAAAAGAGACTCCAAAACCACTGTTCTATCAGTTCAGGATAAAGTGTTAAAATCTCATATTCAAGAGTTTTTTAAATGAATACCAGCATTATAATTCTTTATTAAGGCCTGACCTCAAACACACCTATGTTCCTAGTCAAGTGTTCAAATCAGGAAATGATCTGACACGATAAACTAAAAATATCATTTTACCCTTCATGTTCTCAATAGCTGGTATCAGTGAATAAAAAGAATGTTTTTAATTAACTGGAGAATTTACTTCAAAAGTCCCCAAAACAAGCATTTCAATTTAGTGTTTCTCATTAGGGGCATCACAGGTCTCTTGGGCAAGATGATTCTTCTCCCTTCCATAATACATTTGGCAGGCTTTGGCCCAATACACTAAATACCAATAAAGCCTCCCAGTCATCATGGTAACCTCAACACATTTCCAAATGCCCCCGTTCAAACAACTGAGATAAGTGAAATCCTGAGTCTCAAGGAAGCTGGACAAAAACATTTAATTTTTGATTCCTTGAAGAAACTTGAGCCCTTCCTGCGTCTAAGGCAGCTGGGGATACACACACCCCAGTTTCTGTCCAAAATGAGCTTGTCATCTGTATTAATGGCTTCTCCACCTTTTTCAAGCAGAACCTTTCCTGAAGGAAAAGTCTTTCATGAAAGCCAGCAAATTAAACTGCTCTGAGTCCATCTTTCCTCCACGACCCCCTGGCTCCACTACCTGCCCAGCTTGTCATCAACACTGACAACTAGCAATATTTGTATTCAATCTACAAAGCCCTATGATAACTCATGGGAAAAGGATATATATCTCATTTAAAGCACAGATGGAATCCTAACAACATGTGTTTTTCCTAAAAGTTAAGGAGAAATGTGAGTTCATACCTCTTTGATAACTTGCTCTGGTTTCTGGACAGATAACTGCAATCTTTTCTGTAGGAAAAAACATTCCGTCTGTCTTGCAATATCCAGAAATTTCTGGATACATTGATCAACACCTTATGAGAAAAAGGCCAAAATATTAAGAAAAACCCTAGACACGTGTTATCTCCCTCATAAATGAATAGTCAAAATATCAAAATGGCACCTTCCCACATATGTAATCTGGAATTTTAATTCTGGTCACAGCAGTGATATTGACTCCCAACCCCCATGTATTAACCAACATTAAATAGCACATCATTTGTGCTTTTATGAGTTGAATGATACCTCAGTACAACACAAAAGTTCTTCTGAAGAGAGATAATCCAGAGATCCAGCAATTAGCATCATGACTTCCAGTTAAAATGTAACATGTAAAATATGGTACAAAAAAAGTCAGAAACACTGGTTGCCTCTGAGGCGAACTTGGGTGAAGTCAGGGAAGCACAAGAGACTTTTCTGTGTAACACCCTCAAAAAATAATCAAAACTTAAGTTTTTGAAAAAAGCAGTATGCATTGTTGGTTGTCACTGACCTATACCAAAATGGAAAGAAAGCTCATTTTAAGTGGTTCATTATGAGTGACATGTCAATTAATAAACTGAACAAAGAACCAGCAGTATACAGAAATGACTGCATAAATCTTATTCCCTGGAAAAGTTCTCTTAGGATACAAACAGAACTGAAACACATCGAGTATATACTCAGTAATTAGGAAGCTTGCTGAAGGTAAGAACACGGTCTACAGAGTAAATTCTTACCAGTTCTAATTTCTTCCTGATCCGTGCCATTGACATAGTCCTGACTCACAAGAGAAGCAAAGCAAGCCTGTGTGACCCAAAAAAAATGTAAGAAAAAATATGTCATTCACATGTCAAAAATCTTACTTCAGAGTAAGAAATAACTTCTCTTGAAGTCATTCAATGAGCTGATAGAGTCCGGGTTTGCACATCAGCTGACAAGATATACTACTGCTGATGAAGAAACTTGGTACACTGAGTCCACCAGACCCTCAGAGGGAGACCTGCAAATGAGGCTGCTGGTATTTGCTAACACCACCACCTGGTCCCAACTCCTGCCACTCACCCCCTTCCTCACAGTCCCATTCCACACCAGGACTGACACACAACAGGTTCCTTCACTGTTTGACAAACATTCATCAAGCAGTTGCTATGTGGTACCACTGCATTAGCACTGATGGAGGAAAGAGAGAGAGATGGCCTCTGACTTTATGGGCCTGGTTTAGTGGTAAATCCTACAAAAGGCACCAGGGGCAGATCCACTGAGGAAGTGATACACAATTTGGAGGAGGGGACCTGGAAACCCAGAGAGAACATAAACAGCACATGGAGAAAAAGTCTTCTGTGGTCAGAGTAAGAGGAAACTGCAATGGAGCTGAGAGTTGAATATGCTGAGCTAGGAATATCACAGTAAACCTTCTGGCTTTATCTCAGGATTGACAGGTAGCCACTAAAGGGTTTTAAGCATTAGGGCACTGGTGTCTGCTCTGGCCATGACTTCTACAAGGCCAGTCTTTCAGCAAGCACTCATGACTGACAGCCACCTCACCTCAATGCTAAATGCTGCTCTAAAGTTTACCAAACCCTCTCCTTTATGGCTTGGCACCACTGCAAAGGCATCTCATCCTCTTCCCAGATAAATTTCAATGTCTTTTAATCAGTTACTTCCAAGTTTTTTAATGTACAGTCCCAGGTAAAAGCATTTTCCCCATGCAGCCCCAATAACACATTCATTAACAACCTATATTCACGCTCTACTCTGCTATTATACACAGTATAAAACTCACATGACTAGGACTTAAAATGTGGAAAAGTAGCTGCAATTAAAAGTTATTTTATTTCCACACAATAATGGCTCATCTTCCACCCTAGAGACCACTGAAAGCCATCTTATTTTTAAGCACCTATTTTTACCTCTCCTTTGTCTACCACTCCCCATTTCCCTTGCTAGAGGGGTTAACTTCTTGGGTAGAACTCAGAATCTGGGTCATCCCTGTCTCCCTCACTCTCTCCAGCTTTTCTTTCCCCTCTAGTACCAAATTTCACACAGCAACCTTCACATAAGTCCATCTCATCTCCAAGAGTCCATTAGTTTGGAGCCATCTGAGGGTGGAGCCCAACGGAAAGAACACAGAACGTAGCAGTGTGACGTTACCTGTCCTAGATGAACCAGTATTAAGCACGCAGGAGTGCGGGGAAGAGCGCTCAGGGCTCAAAAAAGGATGGAACAGGTACAACTGACTGGGAACCTAGACGGGTCTGAGGCTGGCGATAGGCAAACTTCAAGCTCACGTGCTTCCAGAAACAGAAAGTTTACATCTGTGCCAGCAGACCTGAGCAGAATGCCGGTCACCAATCAACGTGGAAACTAAAGCAAGTGACTTCCGTTCTCTGAGCCTGTTCCCCTATTCATAAGCCTGATGTGGGCATCGCTGAAAGAGACAACTGCCCAGGTGCAGCTTATGTTTCAGGAAAGAAGGTAGGCTGGGAACACAAACGCCCCAGTCTCATCTTACTTCAAAAGAAGACTCCAACTCATCCACCAAGGTGCTGTTAGAAGTTCTCGGAGGGCCTGGCGCGGCCTGAAGAAGCGAAGCTTGGCCCCTGGAGTCCCCGGGGTGTCCAGGTGGCTGCCCGGAGAACATACCTCCCAGTGGAGCCGCCATTTCTGGAATGGCGCGCAAGAGGCACCGTGCGGCTGCGCAGGCTGGCGCGCGCGGCTCACGTGACAGCCCTAGTCATGTGACATCTAGGGCCTCCGCAGGCGTCCTTGGGGCTCCAGGGAAACCACAGATTTGATAACCCTTGCTTTCTTCTTCTCTGCCGGTAGGCGGCCAGGCTTTTCTTTTCTTTTTCCTAATTTAAGAATTAAAGGCTCTAACAGGATTTGACACAGTTGTGGGGAGTGGAGAATCAGTAGCTACGGTGGAACTAGACCTTTCCCCGGAGTCGGGATACTCCTGTGCCCAAGTCCCGCCTTTGCACTTGAGATTTGGAGTGACTTTAGCTAAGGTTTTCTCCCTCTGGGCTCAGGTTAGCGTTTGTTAAGGAGGGAGGCACCCATTCAGTCCACAGTAATTGAGCCCTTACAGTGCACCAGTGACTGATCTACTCACTGTGGATATAACGGGAACAAACTGGCAAAGTTACCCCTAAGTTCTCTGTACGGAGAGGCGGCTAACAGAAACACTACGTCTCTGTTCGCCTTAAAGCCACATATGCGGTCTTTCAGTAACTTCCTTTTAGCATTCATTTATTTTTTCAGAAGCTAAGGTTTCTTTTCCCATTATATTTAATCTTATAGTTATCCAGCACATTGAGCCTTCCGTGCCCTAGGCTTTAATCAATCTGGGGTTATAACAGTCACCCCCAAGTCTCTGTTGTCATGTTTACTGTTTTTGTGGGAGACAAACACACAAATATATATAGCAATATCTAGTGGAGATAAGTGATAAGAAGAAAAATGAAACCCAGTAAGCAAATGGCTAGTGATGGGTTTGAGATGGGTAGCTGTCCTCTCAAAGAGATCTGGGCTAGAATGACTAGAATGAAAATGTAACCAGAAAAGCTTTCTAGACAGGGGTCCTTGAAGAAAGAACCTGCCTGGCATAGTTAGGAACCACAGAAAGGCCAGTGGGGCTGGAGTGAGGGAGGCAGGGCAGTAGCAGCTAGAAAAAGCAAAGGTTCCCCTTTGCCCATCAGGTCCCAGATCAAAACTCATCTTCCCGTCAGTCTAAATTAGCCCCACACTTCCAGCCACTTCACCATTTAATTTTCTTTATAGCACTTAATCATTACATGAAATTATGTGGTTCATTTGTCTTCATTAACAAAGTCACCTAACACACATGCACCAATAGGAAAGCAAGCTCCATGAGATTAGGGCCTGCCTGTCTTGATCAACTGTATTCTTAACACCCCAAACTGTCAGGCATAATTGTTGACCAAACAAAAATATAACGCCATAAGGAAACTAATGGGCTCCAGCAGTTCTCAAACTGTTCGGGGTCTTAGGACCCTTTTACACTCCCAAAATATTGAGTACTACAAACATGTATGGATTGTGTTGGTATTTGTTCAATTAAAACTTGGAATATGTAAAATACCTACATATTAAAACTGAGGATTTAAATAATATATTTTAAAATAAGCCAGTTAATATTAGCATCAATATTTTAGTATTTCTCTTTTATAAAACAAAAACAAACAAACAAACAAAAAAAGAGTTGGGCTTACTTTACTTGTTTGCAAAAGTAGAAGACTGACACTTCTCACTCTTATATAGTCTTCAACCCCAGTGGCCATCTGGGACTGCAAGGGAGCCTTGAGGCTGGGTGGTGATGCACATTTCCCACCCTGGATTTCTGGTGACCATGGAGCTGCTTCAGTTTTGGCTTCTTTACTTCAGCTACCTTTTAACTCTATTGTATTCTAAACCACTGCTGTTTTGGATTTGGTGCTTGCCATAGCCATGCCTGGTCCTCATGGATAGACATGGGTAATACCCATGGTTGAGCGTGGTTGAGAGGAGTCAAGGGTTTGTGTAATACCTGGCAGCCAAATGTACCTGCAATGATAACTAAATTTCATCTCAGTCAGATTAGATAAGCACATGAATCCAGGGCTAAGTCATGCCTTTTGGATCCCCTGTTCTGAAAAACACAAGAGTTCTGTTGTTCCTCTCTTTATAAAAAGCCTTCTACCAAGTCCCTGCTTCGCCTTCTGAGTCACTGAAAGAAATCTAATTCTAGCTTCCCTTCACAAGCCAGTGGTTCCACCTCTCCATCTTCCCTGACAAAAGAGCTCCTGGACATGGATACCTAGAAGAACCTGTTTACTCACTATTCCTGCCTGTAAAACAGATATGCATGCCCATATCCATTCCCTTTCTATAATCCACTTGAGACATAACATCCTCTTTCATGTCAAATTTTTAAAATATTAAAAATTGGGGCACCTGGGTGGCTTTGTCGGTTATGTGTCTAACTCTTGATTTTGTCTCAAGTTGTGATCTCAGGGTTGTGAGATTAAGCCCTACATCAGGCTCTATGCTCAGAGGGGGAGTCTGCTTGAGATTGAGATTCTCTCTTTGACCCTCTGCCCCACCACCACACACACATTCTCTCTAAAATAAACAAACCTTTTAAAAATAATAAAATATTACAATTAACTACAATAAACAGGTTTCTTATCAAATGCTTAGTCCTAAAAAAAGAAAAAAGTAGAGGGATCCAATTCATGGGTAATTTGTTCACCTAGATACAAAAGAAAAGAGGAGAGCTTTGTCCTAAATCTGCACAAGTACAATTTTTTGACTGGTTGTAGTACCAGGTGGTAAGCAAATATTTTACCCATGAACAGTCTCTTTTATTGGTCTTGTTCCTTAACTCAAATACATCCCACATCCACTCAAGTCACTGAACTGACAGAAGCATTACAATGTAACAATTAAGCCAGCTGTGGAGGCAGGCTCCCTCCTGTTTAAATCTCTGTTCTCCCACTTAGTAGCTTGGTGACATTTTTTTTTTTAATTTTATTTTTTCAGTGTTCCAAGATTCATTGTTTATGCACCACACCCAGTGCTCCATGCAATACGTGCCCTCCTTAATATCCACCATCGGGCTCACCCATCCCTCCATTCCTCCTCCCTTCCAAAACCCTTAGTTTGTTTCTCAGAATCCACAGTCTCTCGTGCTTTGTCTCCCCCTCCGATTTCCCCCAATTCACTTTTCCTTTCCTTCTCCTAATGTCCTCCATGTTGACATTTTTGACATATTCTTACCCCTCCCTCTCTCTGGTGACTATTTTCTTCATCTGTAACATGGGGATAATAGCACCTACCTCACCAACTGATAAAATCATTGCTGAGTGTCCTAAAGTGATTATTAACACTGAGAAAATACTGTAACATCTTACTTAGTTCACATAACACAGCCAAAAAAGCTAGTTAGACTACTACTGAGTATACAGTAATACAGAATACCAGAGCCACCAGAAAGCACAAAAAGTTGATTTATTATTTCTGACAATTGCATAGTAACCTTTAATTTATTCCTAGCATCACAAATCTAAAAGACACCTTTGCTCCTCAATTAAAAACATATACTCTGAAAATTAACTAGGTAGTTTTTAAACATTTAATGATTTATAGAATATCTTAAAAATCTTTGCCAGGCTAGAGATTAGCTTTACCTTTATAAATCTCCACACAAAATGAACAAATCAAGGCAATCAGATTTTCTTTTGTTCAACATTTTTAAATACCACGCTTTGTTTCCTTTGAAAGATTTTCATCCATCCATTCAAAAATATTTTGAGGCTCAACTGCCCATTCAAGACAGAATGAGAGAATTTTAGAAAATCTGAACTAAGCACTGTTTTGACTGAACTGAAGCAAGAATTCTATCAGGGTCCTTGTGGGCCTCCCAGTCATGCCCTTCCGCAGATATGGAACCTCATCTTTGTTGGTCATCACACCTGCTATATCTAAATGTGCCCACTTAGGATGAGTCACAAATTCTTTCAGGAATGCTGCAGCTGTACATGCTCCTGCAGACCTAAAGAGAAAGACAAAAATCATTTTTTAACCCCATGTAAACGTTCACTGAACACTTCCATTAACTTTCTATTCTCACTAAGTAGCTTCTATGACCAGAAAGCAAAAGTCAAGTTTATGAGATTAAGAGCGTAACCCAAAACCACTTTCAGAATATTTATTTTCAGACATAGCTTTAAGCAATAAAGGATCAATTGTAGATTCCTCTTTCCCATGGTAATGAATTCACCTGTTTTTCATTTCTTTCCCTTATGATTTGTTTAAAATGACTTTTGGCCATAAAAACCTGCAAAATTTTGAGCACCAGATGGAAAAGACCTTGAAAATTGAAGACATTTGAAATTAGGGCTTATGAGCACTGTATCAAAAGGAAATTGGCTACACTTTCTGTGAAAGGGCATAAAATTTAAAGTGGTCATTTTGGTAACCAGTGATTGTAAAAATGTACCTTTATAGCTCCTTTTACATACCTATATTTTCCAATGTTATTAACATCAGCAAGTTGGCAATCTACAACTTGTCTTGTGTAATGTTCAAACAGAGGCATCCTCCAGACACGGTCCCCTGTTTCAATACTGGCCTGAAGAAGAAATAGGTACAACAGTTGGAGAGTGCAAGGAGCAAGCTCTGGTTAAATTCACGGCACTGAAGTATTCAATACTGGAAAGCCAGAACTGTTCTGACCTCTAAAAAAGGAAACTATGCAACCGGGTTCAGAAACATTTCAGTTAATCAAAAGATTTACTGAAGAATTATAAACGAAACCAGGGATGTTATAAAACACTCCACAAATCTGTAGGGCATTTGCCAAAATCAATTCTTACAGATGTCAATTTACAGTAAGATGGTATTCAGCAGTACATCGACTTTATGGGATTGATTATGGGGAAACGGCCTTTGTGATACTTGTCAGCTCAGCGTGCTAAGGAATACCTGTCTGAAACTGCATCACTGAAGACCAGAACCCAAGACCAGGTGACCTTATGTATTTGCATAATCATACACACACTCATTCACATTAATCAGTTACTGAATCTTGACAGAGCACCACCAGGTGTTGGGGCTACACAGAAATTTAATATCTGAGCCATCAGAAGGCCCAGAGGCTGGTAAAGGAAACAGATACACAG